TTCGTTTTAAATTAGTAATAACTAGAATTCGAGCAAATGCGAAGCATTACAGGCGTTATTTTAAAACGAATAACAGTCATGATTTCCGATGACTTTATAAGAGTGGACTCAAAGATTTTGGAAATACTGTACTCACGATGTTTACAGTTAGACATAATCAATTTTTTTGTAAATATCTTATCTTTTTTCAAAAAATGTTGATCTAGTTTTTTTAGTGTTTTCTACAAATGTTTTTAGTACAGTGCAATTAGCTTAAAAAAATAGCAAACCGGGACATCCAAAAAAAAAGTTTCAAACCAGTGCCAAATTGTTGAATACACTTCCCTCAATATGTAAAAAAAAGTTACACTGATTTGAGTGTCGGGTTTGGGGGGGAGGGGGTGAAAATGGGGTGAAAATATGACTTTTTTTTACTTTTTCGCAAATACCTCAAAAACAGTGCGTTTTGTTTAAACATAATCAATTACAAAAATAATCTACATTAAATTTCAAACAAAACGATACCATACAATACCTATCTACTATGAACGGTTCAGGTAATATTGAGGCGTAAATGTGATTTTTTTCTTAAAACTCTAAAAAAGTTGTTTTTTAAATGGAGGAAACCCATGGAAGCCCATAAAAAAAGTTTCTAACAAGTGCCAAATTGTTCAATAAACCTCCCTCAATATGTATAAAAAAGTTACACGGATTTGAGTGTCGGATTTGGGAAGGAGGGTTAAAATAAAAGGGGGGGGGGAATGGGACTTTTTTGCTATTTTACAAATATCTCGAAAACGGTGCGTTTTTCTTAAAATATAATGAATTACAAAAATAATCTATATTAAATTTCAAACAAGATGATGCCATACAATACCTATCTACCATGAACGTGTTAGGATATATTGAGGGGTAAATGTGATTTTTCTTTTTAATTCTAAAAAGTTGTTTTTTAAATGCAGGATAACCATGGATACCCATAAAAAAGTTTTTTGTTCTTTGCATTTTCTCTATTAACTTACTCGTTTATGAGCTACAGGATGCGGAATGTACACAACAAGCCTTTTAGTGAATTTCCCATATAGGGAATAAGCTATTACCGTAGTACTCATGGTAAGACCTGGACCCGGGACCGATTTATTTTTTCGTTTTGAGGTCCCTAGACGCCAAAAACACCATCCGTTCAAATTCATATATATATATATATATATATATATTTATATATATATATTTATATATATATATATGTGTCCGTTAGCACGATAACTCGAGCAAAAATGATCCGATTTTGATGAAATTTGGTACAAACGTGTAAACCTACATTTATTCGAACGAGTTCGCGAACCAGCATGATCGGACTATGGGAACGGGGGTTTATGGGGGGTTTTATGGGGTAAAAATAGGTTTTTCCCATTTTTGACCCTAAAACCACATAATTTTACAATTTCTTTTCAAACCATTTTGTAGAGCGTAAAAAAACAAATAATTTTGTATATTGAAGCGTTATTGTGCGCCTAGTGGTTACGGAGTAAATGCCAAAAAACTGTAAATTTAAAATCCCCATGTTATTCTTATGGAGAATAAGTCAACTGTTGTACTTTGCTTGTTTATGAACATATTTTGATTGAATTTGGAAAATACATTCATTTCTTACTAAACTAACATTAAAAAACACCTTTTTACCCTCTCTGTTGCAGCAAACCTAAGTACTCGTTAAACTAATTCTATTTAAAAAGGGAATAAAATATGATATTTTTAAGGGGACATTTTAGTGTAAATCCTATGAGGCTAATGGAAATTCGCTTAGTCTGCAGGTTTGCTGCAGCGGGGGGTATTTTCCATAAGTGTAACATTCTGTAACTCCTAAACGAGTAGCTTTTAAGAGAAAATGTCAAAATAATTTTTTTTTTTTTAAATTGGATTTATATTCTAAAACAATTATAAACTACAGGGTGTTCCATAAGAAACAACAAAGTTGTCGGCCATATTGGAAAATGGCGAACATATTTTTAAAATTGGGAACCATTCCAAATCATCTAAAAAATAAAGGGGAGTGTCCCATAAGAAGTCAACTGTAGCCTATAACTCATGATAAAAAAGTTAGCTATTGGTTCACTTTAGGTGAGACATCCTGTATACAGGGAGTCCTGTAAGTAAACAGCCAAACCCCAGGAAATGGTTCTATGGGTGAAAATAAAAAGAAAATCAAGAATATTTTTTCCAAAATCGCTTCGTTAACCAAATATTTGCCATTTTGTTTTTTTCACAAAAACATTATTTCATCTCTGAATTTTTTAACAGATCATTAGCAAACTTGGTATGTATGTTGAGATAAAATAGACCCACGTTAGAAAAAAAATTATCTTAATCCAATAAAAATTTTAAAATGGCGGCCATTTAATTTTTTAAAATTAAAATTGCTAGAAATGGCTAATTTTATAAAAAAATGTCTGTAACACTTTTATTTAGCTTTTAAAATAATAAAAAAAATAAATAAATATCACGATTTTTATTTGTAAAATGAGGCAACCCTGAATAGCGTATCCTTGATCACAATAATTTTACAACTAAAAATCGTTGTAACTTCAGTTATTTTTTATTCGATCTTCTTGAGAATTCAAACGGTAGAAAGTTCACCGTGTTCCAGTATCTAGGTAGGTTTGTCTTTTTTAGGTAGGTAAGTCATATTTAGTTATATTGTAGTTATATTTGTTATATTTGTGTTAAAATGGAAAATAAAAAGTGTTACTTAACAAATTTACAAAATTACTTATGAATAAAATTCCCAACCCCGTTTTCACACCCTCCTACCCAAGACCGGCACGGATTTGCGTGTAACTTTTTTACACATATTAAGGGAGGTTTATTGAACAATTTGGCACTTGTTAGAAACTTTTTTTATGGTTGTCCATGGGTTTCCTCCAGATAAAAAACAACTTTTTTTAGAATTTTAAGAAAAAATCACATTTACCCCTCAATATTACCTGAACCGTTCATAGTAGATAGGTATTGTTTGGTATCATTTTGTTCGAAATTTAATGTAGATTATTTTTGTAATTCATTATATTTTGAGAAAACACACAGTTTTTGAGGTATTTGTAAAATAGCAAAAAAAGTCCCATCCCCCTCCCCTTTTATTTTAACCCTCCTTCCCAAATCCGACACTCAAATCCGTGTAACTTTTTTATACATATTGAGGGAGGTTTATTGAACAATTTGGCACTTGTTAGAAACTTTTTTTATGGGCTTCCATGGGTTTCCTCCATTTAAAAAACAACTTTTTTAGAATTTTAAGAAAAAAATCACATTTACGCCTCAATATTACCTGAACCGTTCATAGTAGATAGGTATTGAATGGTATCGTTTTGTTTGAAATTTAATGTAGATTATTTTTGTAATTGATTATGTTTAAAAAAAAACGCACCGTTTTTGAGGTATTTGCGAAAAAGTAAAAAAGTCATATTTTCACCCCATTTTCACCCCCTCCCCCCCAAACCCGACACTCAAATCAGTGTAACTTTTTTTTACATATTGAGGGAAGTGTACTCAACAATTTGGGACTGGTTTGAAACTTTTTTTTTGGATGTCCCGGTTTAGGTCTAATTGCACCGTACTATTTCATTAACGATTATAAATGAAAAAAAAACATTATTTTTATTTCTTCTACTTGGTTGTGTTCTATGACTTTTCTATGTTTCCATTGTTTGCAAATCGGCTCTTTCAATGATTGCTCAAGAAATGTAGCACAGTGTTAATTCAGTTTTATTTTTAGTAAGTATATCAAATTGTCCAGAATTTCTCGCTTTTTTCCATTGTAATAATTGCACCAACCCAAGTATTGTCTAAAGACACAATACGCCAAAGAATATCGTCTACGTACAACACGCCTAAGTACAATCTCCAAGAAGAGGTAAAAAAAGGCAGAAACCAACTCATACAATAGATATAAGTTAACTTCGTAAGAAATAATCTGAAGGGTTACTGTGACATTTTCCACTGATTTAGTAATAGAACATTATACAGTATTGCAAAACATGACACAATGCAAAAGAAAATTGATTTTAAAATCTGAAAAAAAAACATTGCAAATACTTAATTTTGACAGATTCAGTAAATCATATTTTAAATATTAACAGTTGTTTCATTAAAAAGTACCGGTAGTGAAAATTTATGCATATGGTCGTAATGTAAACAATTCTAAATAAGAACTTAAAAGGCCTCTGGGGCAGAGCCCCAAGGGAATTTACCTCGTTTCCTTTTTGATGGCTCATCTACAGACCAAGACCTTTCTTTAGACCGTTCTTTAGACCCCTACCAAGTTTCTACGCCCAGCCGTTCTCTGAAATTAGCTGTGACAAAAACCCGTTTTTCCTCCATAAGAATAACATGGGATGGGAATTTAAAGGCCGCCGGGGCAGAGCCCCAAAGGAATTTACCACGTTTCTCTTTTGATGGTTCATCTACAGACCAAGACCTTTCTTTAGAGACCACTACCGAGTTTCTACGTCCACTCGTTCTCTCAAATTAGTTGTCACAAAGAAAAACAGTTTCAAATTAATATATAAATGTAAACAATTCTAAATAAGAACTTAAAAGGCCTCTGGGGCAGAGCCCCAAGGGAATTTACCTCGTTTCCTTTTTGATGGCTCATCTACAGACCAAGACCTTTCTTTAGACCGTTCTTTAGACCCCTACCAAGTTTCTACGCCCAGCCGTTCTCTGAAATTAGCTGTGACAAAAATCCGTTTTTCCTCCATAAGAATAACATGGGATGGGAATTTAAAGGCCCCTGGGGCAGAGCCCCAAAGGAATTTACCACGTTTCTCTTTTGATGGTTCATCTACAGACCAAGACCTTTCTTTAGAGACCCCTACCGAGTTTCTACGTCCAGTCGTTCTCTCAAATTAGCTGTCACAAAGAAAAACAGTTTCAAATTAATATATAGATAGTACATGCAAGCAAAAAAAGATATTATTCAATGTTATTACTTGTCTGTTATTATAAACTTGTCTGTTTTTCAGGTTGAGATTTAGTAAACTTCCATTCAGACTTGTTACAAATGAAACTCAATCTACAAAGGCCGCCTTGGTAAAGGAACTTAATAAGCTTGGTTTTAACATAAATGAAGAGGAAGTCTTTGCACCAGTTCCAGTAGTAGTTAAAATGTTAGAAAAAAATAAACTAAGACCCTTCTTACTTGTCCACAAGCAGGTTTGTGTTAGACATTTTTCATATGAAACAAGGTCTTTAGGCTATCAAAATATCAAATTAATTATTACTAGCGTCTTGTAGGGACGTAAGTCCCTAAAAAGCACAAATCTAAAATCAATTATTGTAATCTTGAAACCAACTCAGAATCAAATTTTAATATGAAAAGACAAAAAAAGATTTGATAAGCTTAGTTCTTGGTCAAAACCGCTAAATTAGCACTCCGAATCAGTTATTATTTCTATGTTTATGCTCATTTTGTAAAGGTTTGACAGAATTAGTGTAAAGTAAAGGCACCCCATTGACAGAACTAAACCCTAAATTTGTTTCTGATCAACATTAAAAAACTGCTTTAGCCTAGTATAAGTATACTAGCTGGCCCGACAGACGTCGTCCTGTCCTAATGTGGTTTTATGTCAAATGCTCGTTCATTTTCAAGATGAGCTCATTCATTTTCAAGATGAGCTCGTTCGCATTGCTCAATCAAGTCCTCGTTGAAGTTTGTTTGCTACGCTTACTCACCTTTAGGTTGGAGCTCGTTTGCTGCGCTCACTTGCCTTCAGGTTTAGCTCGTTCGCTATGCTAATTCCCTCTAGGTTGAAGTTCGTTCGCTACGCTCACTCACCTTTTGGTTGCAAGTTAGCTTTTGTCATAAATATAAAAAAATAATAGTGCTGCACCCTGTTGGTAAATTTATTAACTTTTTAATGTTATTGAACATCACAGAATCAAATTGTTCACTTGGACCAGCTGTTAAGATTCTTTAATTCCATTTAAATATAAGCACTCATAAGGTTAACATGGGAAACTCCAGAGCCACTGGGGCGGAGCCCTTTTGACGGATCTGCACCAAACTTCACACAAACCATCCTTGAATAATGCTTAATAATGCCTGAAAGTTTCAGTACAATCTGTCGAGCGGTTTCGGAGTCCATAACGTTCAAATATATATATATATACAAACTTCCTCTTTTATAAATATAGATATGGTGGTAATCCTCTTAAAGGTGCGATTGACTTTACATATCCTATCAAAAAAGGGCCTAATCAACGTCTGGTTACTAACCATTTTGTAACTAGGGTTCCATTACCCAGTTATTGAAACCAATCGCGACATGCATATTTTTGGTTAGTTTTAAGAAACGGAAATTAACTCTAGGCTTTACTGTTAAATGTAGGTACTCCCTTTACTACCGTGTATGCTAGGCTATATTATTTGAACATGTACCTGGTTAGTCTCCTCTAAACAATATTGTTTTTTTTCTCTCATTGGAACTTGTCATAGTACTTCCTTAATAAACGAATACCTGTACGAACCCCTATTTCATCATCATTCATCATTGTTTTCTAACAGGGGCCGTTAAGGTTATTCAACTTCAACTTCATACAAAATATTGATTCAACTCTACAATAAATCTCAAATATAAATGTTAGTAAATTTACAAAAGTGTGTGTCAGAAATATGTAACACATGTTTTGAAATAAAACCAATGCAGTTGTTTTGAAATCAAAAGACCGCACAAGTTCTTCATTTAATCTTGAATCGTTTCTTTAATCTTGAAAACAATTGATTTCAACTTTGACGTACCAAGTCTTAATCATTATAGGTAACGTTATCCCTGGTTTTATATAGTATACGGTACATTATTGAGCTTAGTCAGGATTGCACACTACGGGGATCGAACCCGCGCATGTAGAAATACCTCGACGCTACACTCCTCAGTGCAACACCTTTACCAAATGAGCTACAAGCCACCATCAGCCGTCCGTGTAGATTGCAGTTATAAGCAAGCACACGACAACACTAGCGCTTGTAGGTCTGATTTGACAAACTACTTGAGTGCCACTGTGTAACAGTATGACTGCTACTTATAATCATTCACTGTCTGGGTTGTAGAAGGCTGACAAAAACGATCTAAGATGATTATTTCATCGAAAATGTGTGTGAACGTTCAAAATATGTTTTTCTCTTCATGAAATATGTATGCTAACATCAAATTGTCGTGTGTTTCTTGTAGAGGAAAATACAGTGTGGTAGAAAAGTCCCGGAACGGTTAAATATTTTAAAAAATAATGCAGACTAGTGGCCTATAGGGGCCATAGCCCCTAACTTAGACTACAATAAAAAAACCATATATAAAATGACAAATTATTCGGAATAGGCCTTTAATGTTTTTAAATGGTAATGTTAATAAATAATAATAAAAATTAAAAAATAATAAATAAAAAATAAAAAAAATAAAAATAATAATAGTGTTTTTAAAATTATCAATTTTATGTTACTTAAAATTAACAGTGTTTTTGTTTCATATCTTGGGTTTCCTTCCGTTGGAGTCTTATATTAGTTGCTTCTGATGTGTCAATGAAATACAATTGTAAAATAATGATTAAATCAATAACACAACATATTAACAAATGGAAACGTGCACACGGTTTGGCCTGAGCTCAGAGAACAACGAATCAGAGCTGAAATTATACAGCCAAACATTGCACATCTTTTCTAGTTTAAAATTGAAGATTTGTTTTGTAATCTTACGAATTCTGTTGTAGTTTCCATTTTGAGAACCACATGTAAAGGTCCAAATTATTATTAATTATTATGAAAGCAAATTCCCATTTCGCGGTAGTAAGTCAGAAATATATCAATGAATTTGTCCCTGAATTTTAAGGCCCATTTCCCGGAATCTCTTTTTGTGTAGCGGAAAGCGACGCAAAAGCCATTAGCACTGTTGTATTGCCTTATATTTTTTATAATGTTCGAATCATGTAAAAACAGTTCTTTTAGTTTGTAATTTACTTGTGGTTGTGGCATGTCCATTGTGGCAACATGCGTTGAAATGTCCATTTGTGGCCTCCTCATCTGCGAAGTGAAATGCGCCATAATGCAAGCAAGTGCTTTAAGAGGACCTAGATTGTAAGAAACAACACTTAGGCTAACTCATTTTCCAGCGTTCTTCTAAAGACAGGTTGTAAAACAGCTTCTGGATTTCTTTCACAGTTAGGCCCTACATGACGTTCTCTTTTGCATTTCTTGTCTGTTGAATTCCTGGACACTCTTCCACGTCTTGCATTCACGTCTTGCAGGTCTTCCCCTACCCTGTCTAGTTACTTCACTCATTATAAAAACGGAAAAACAACAAAATTAAACACAATTCATTTTGAAGCATTATTTACCAACATTGACTTTCAGAATAAATGTAAACATTGCAAATAAATAAGTAACAGCTGATAGAATGCAGACGTTTTTCAGTCCCCATGCATTTCTTATGGTGGATATTTTACGTTATATCTCGTTTTCTGGTAACTTTATGGGAATTCTGCTATTTTTCCCGAGTCCCTGGGGTCAAGACCTTTAATTTAAGACCCCTCCCACCTTTCTGCAACTTACCAGACGTCCACAATTTTCTGGTAAAAATTTGGTCTTACAGAATTATATATATATAGATAGAGCTAAAATACTTGGTACAAAGTTACAGGGCATAAAACTCTATTTTAATACATATTCAGTGATCCAATAATTCTTCAGGGGGATGACCCACAAGTAGTCAGAAGAAAATCTTAAAGGAAAACATAGGCAGGGTGTCTACCAACCGGGAAATCCGGGAAAACCGGGAATTGTACTTAAATTTTTACTGGCCATGAAATGTACGGGAATTGTCCTTAAATGCTAGACTATGTCCTTAAATTTTTAATGGGCCATAATTTTATTGATCGCTAGTTGGTTGGGAGCACATAAAAGGTTTATCAGATGTTTGTTTACATTTTCATAATTTATTACTAGAGTAATTATGCAATAAAAATCCCATTAACAATCTCAAACCCATAAATATTTTATCACGACAATCAAGTGTCAAGTCAAGTACTTCCAAGAACTGTTGACTCAGCAGCTAGCTCATAAAAGTTGTATCACTTTTATTCCTTTACAACATCTTTTTTTATTACTAGGGTAATTATTATTAGATCCCAAACATATTTTATCGTGAAAATAATAGCTTTATAATGGCTGTTAAATTTCACTTCTTACTCGTACTTTCCGCGGCATGGTTTCATATTAAACGTGTAAATAATCTACAGTCTTATTTTGTAAGTTAACCCCTTTTTTATGGACATTTTATCTTTCAATTGACAAAACCACAAGCATTGTTGTTTGCATTAATGTTTTATCACTATGTAGGCCTGCTTGGTTTCAAATTATGTCATTGCATTTTCTGTATCTTTGTCTTATATTGTTGGCTATTCAGGTTTCAATGTTTTTTGTTTCCCATATATTTATTTATTGAGTTGTATGCTTTAAGCAATCAAAATCTTATGAACTAGAATGATGATAGTGACTTTGCTGCTATTATAACCTCATTGTTTGTTACTCAGTTTATATAGGCCCTCCTAAATAATTAGGTCTAGGCCTGGGTATTTTGATTCTTGAAAGAGCTGTAAAATATATTAAGAAAATTAATTCAGCCTAAGATAAACAACTAATGATTGCTATGTGTCGATATTAACTTTGCAAATGAAAATACAATAATCTTACTCTGTGCTTATTGCTTATTAATAGCCGCTTACCAAACCTTGAAGAATTGAGTAACAATATGCATTAAAGATTTTTTTCAAAAGTAGTCGAGAACCTAACGTGCCAGGGCGAATCATGCCATATTAATCGGCCTGGATCGGATAAGCTATGTTATGAAGTTTACGTGACTGATGGAGATATTTGTCCCTATCGCAGGAGCTTCTCTGTTACACTATAAAAGCTTTACCTAAAGTATAGGTAGGCCTATGTTTGTTTACTTTCAATAAATTTCTATTTTGTTATTTTTAACTCTTATCTATTATTATTTACTTTTCTCTCTGGTATAACTACAGTGAATAACAAGATTAATACAGTTTGACAAATCAGGAAAATTATTCGGTAGGCCTAATGACACCGACAAAGGTTACGGCAAAGTGTCCTTAAATGTACGGGAATTGTCCATGAATTTTTTATCCAGAATGTAGTAGACACCCTGATAGGTCAATATGCACATCCAATTAAAGGTCTTTTTTAGTAGAATACAATGCCGCAAACCGCACTTCAAAAGGTTGATCCTGCGCAAAATGACAGTTGTTCAAAGATTCATTTAATTTACATTGCTATTATACACTTTCTCCTCAGGGGGCACAGCCCTAGGAATCGGAAGAAAATTGTTATCGTAAGAATAGGTTGATATGCACATAAAATTAAAGGTCTTCACTTTTAGATTACGATGCCGTAAATTCAAGCTCAAAAGAATGCCTGAGTAAAAAATGGCAGTCGTTCAAAGATTCAAAATGGCGGATTCAAGAAATCTTTGAACATCTGCCATTTTGCGCAGGATCAACTTTTTGAAGTGCGGTTTGCGGCATTGTATTCTACTAAAAAAAGACCTTTAATTTTATGTGCATATTGACCTATGCTTCCATTTAAGATTTTCTTCCGACTCCTTGTGGGCCGTCCCCCTGAAGAATTATTGGATCACTGAATATGTATTAAAATAGAGTTTTATGCCCTGTAACTTTGTACCAAGTATTTTAGCTCTATCTGCATTATTTTTTAAAATATTTAACCGTTCCGGGACTTTTCTACCACACTGTATAAATTAAAATTAAGTTCAAAAAACAAAATTCCAGATTTTTAAAAACATTTAGTACCGAACCAATTTAAAATTTTAAAATCCTAGGCAACTAAAGCATGTTTTATAATCTTTCTTGTCAAAGGGCCTCATATATTAGATTAACCGATCAGTCTTGTCTATTGATAGTATTTTATCACAACACCTAGAACCTAGAACTAATGTTAATGAGTTAGAATTGCAACATTATAAGAAGTTGTCATTGCCATGAAATAAATCAATCATAAAGTTTCTGTTAGATAGTAATATAAATGATTTTTTTCCAAATGAGCTCGATTTAAAACTGTCATTTTCTTCATTAATGTCAAAGGTAGGCTTTCATAAATAATAAAAAATGTAATGCAAAGGTAGACTAAGTTCTTTATTTAAATCCAATCTACAATCCAATATTTACAAGTTGTTAATGAAGATTCGTCTTTTTTGTTCTAGGTACTGAAGGAATTTAAAGACATTGAGACAAGTGATCCAAACTGTGTTGTAATTGGAGATGCTGGACAAAACTTCACATTTGACAACTTAAACAAAGCTTTCCGCTTGCTCATTGATCTGCCTGAACCAGTATTTTTCTCTTTAGGCTCAGGGTAAAGCCTTTTCTGCTTAGTATAGACTGTTAAGTGACATCTTATTCGTTTGGTTGTTGTTCTAAACTTATGTTATTTTTTAATTTATTCAGTACCGGTTTCACTTTTAAGTGTAGCACATAGAAGTAAGGTACAGAGTTAACATTCAATAGAACACTAAGGTGGTGTCTTAACTGTGGCACTATTTCAAATCATGACTAATGCTAATACAGAATGTTGTGATTATTCAAACCTACAAAACAGTTGGTGAAAGTACATCTGCTTTTAAATTATATTTATTTGTAAACATTGTAGATCAAAAAGTCTGACATTGGCCCACTTAAAACCCTCTGGGACAGAGCCCTTTTGACAGATCTGCACCAAACTTGGCTCGAACCATCCTTGAAAGATGCTTAATAATGCCTGAAAGTTTCATTACAATCTGTCGAGCGGTTTCAGACTCCATAACGTATATACACATATATATACATACATAGTTCCTCTTTTATAGATATATTATTCTATAACCCTCGGGCTTTGCCCCGTTTAACTTCTTAATTTTCAAGATGATCTCGTTCGCATGGCTCAATCACGTCCTGGTTGAAGTTCGTTTGCTACGCTCACTCACAAAATTGATGGTGTATAAACCTATTCCATGAAATTCTACACGTATGTACCAAGTTTCGTGGCAATCGGTTCAGCGGTGTCTGAGTTTATCACTGCCAAATATATATATATACAAACATCCTCTTTTATACTTATAGACTAGCAGTAACCCGGCGCGCGTTGCTGCGCTAACAAAATACATCTGTCTGTTTGAAAAGTATGTTTTTTCTACATTTAAACCGACGATAGTCAGGGATTGCCCTAGTGCCTTATAATGGTGGGAAATTGTAGTTGCTTAAATTCAGAGGGTAATTCGGATGAAATCATCAGTATTCTTGGGATTAAGACTATTTCTCACTTAAACCTACCTCTGATAATTTTTGCTTTAATCAATTTTGACGTCATTTTTTTAATCGTTGGCCTGGTAACATTGCACAGCTTCGGTGGATTTAAGCTTCGCATTAGTATTATTGGAGTTCCTTCTTTTAATGACAGTAATGTGGTGGGTTAATGACAAATTGAGAGGCATTTGAATACCTGAGATAGCACGCACGATTATTATTCACTTTATAATTTATGTTAGATTGTGTGGGTATAGAACGAAAGATAAAAATATTAAGGCATTGTCATCCCTTTTATTGTTTATAATACTTTGATAAAGGTTTTTATGTTTTTAATATTTACTGTAACATTGGAGAATTTAAACGTTGTTGAGTGCACAGGTGTGCTGAAATTGGGGTTTAATACATTTGGACTTATTCAAAAGTAAAATAGTTTTCTGTGCTGCACTCTGTAGAAACACTGTGGTATTATTTAAAATCATGACTAATGCCAATACAGAATGTTGTAGGCCTACTGTAATTATTCAAACCTACAAAACAGTTGGTGAAAGTAAACATCTGCTTTTAAATTATATTTATTTGTAAACATTGTAGATCAAAAAGTCTGACATTGGTCCACTTAAAACCCTCTGGGGCAGAGCCCTTTTGACGGATCTGCACCAAACTTCACTCGAACCATCCTTGAAAGATGCTTAATAATGCCTGAAAGTTTCATTACAATCTGTCGAGCGGTTTCGGAGTCCATAACGTATATACACACACACATACACACATACATACATAGTTCCTTTTTTATAGATATATATATATATATATATATATATATATATATGTGTGTGTGTGTGTGTGTGTGTGTGTGTGTGTGTGTGTGTGTGTGTCCGTGAACACAATAACTTTAGTAATTTTTGTCCGATTTTGGTTTAAAGGTGTAAGGCGAGATAAACTTGAATGAGTAAACAAATAATTTAGTATATAAAAGTATTTTTGTACGGTTATTAGTAACAGGGAAAATTATTGAGCGGAGCGAGCGAAGCTCTTATACGTCGACTCTTATGCATTTCGTAATACGCAAACTCCTCCTAGACGGCTGAATCAATCGTTTTCAAATTTTGCATGGTGGTAAAGACCATACTGGTGAGTGCCAACATCTATATGGAGTTTAAAAAGTCCCTCAGGAATCCACCCCACTGGGTCTCAAAGTTTCAATGTAATCCTTATGGAAGCAGGATTTGACACATAAACAAAGACAGATGATCAGCTGTTGACTTTTGAATGCAGTAGATAAAGAAATAGCTGATAGCATTATTCTACAGATATTAGAACAGAAACGGTATGGATCATAAATATAATCAAATGACGACACTAGCTTGAGGTCCATGACGTAGGAAGGGGTGAAGGAAGTATTAAAGGTGGGCAGTCTGGAGTGTGGGATCTGTTTATGACCATTATATTAAGGTATTTGCAATCCTATGATGCTATGGGAAGGGAGGGAAACAGGTCCGTGGCGTAGGAATTGGTGATGGAAGTAGTAAAGGCAAGCAGTCCGGACTTTGAGAACTGTTTGTGACAATTAGATTAAGCTATCTCCAATCCTATGATGCTATGGGAAGGTAGGAAAACAGGTCCGCGACACTGTAGAAAGTGGTGAAGGAAGTAGTAAAGGCGAACAGTCCAGAGTGTGAGAACTTTTTATGACGATAGATTAAGGTATCTGCAGTCCTAAAATGCTATGGGAAGGGAGGGAAACAGGTCCGTGACGTAGGAAGAGGTGAAGGAAGTTGTGAGGTGTTGTAGCAGTTAGATTAATGTATCTGCAATGTTGAAATGCTATGCGAAGGGATGGAAGCATGCCCACGACATAGGAAATGGTGAAAGAAGTAGTAAAGGCTAGCAGTGCGGAGTGTGGGGAATGTTTGACGTATCTAAAATACTTAAATGCTATGGAAAGTGATGAAAACAGGTCCACGACGTAGGAAGTAGTAAAGTATGAGCATAGTGTGAGACCCGTCTGTGGCAGTTGGAAATGGTGAAGGAAGTAGTAAGGCTAGCAGTGCAGAGTGTGGGAACTGTCTTTATCAAATACATTAACGTATCTGCAATCCTAAAAAGCTATGGGAAGAGAGGGAAACAGGTCCATGACGTAGGGGGTGGTGAAGGAAGTAGTAAAGGTGAGCAGTGTTAAGTGTGGGAATGGATTAATGTATCTGCAATGCTAAAATGCTAATAGACTGAAGACTGTAGGTTAAAATGATTACGAAGCACAAATAAATACATGTTTTCGATACATTCAACTGTTTACAATTGAAATTTCCAACAGAGTTGACAACAGCTGATGTTTACTCCATAGAGGCTAAAAACGATTTTTACTCTCTAAAGAGTAAAAATGCTACTTTAGACCCGCAACGCATGCATTAAAACGACTGTTTTACTGCAGTATGACAAAAACAATATAATATGAACCCTTGACGACCCCGCTCAATTTTGTGGATGGCTCTGCGAATGCCCCCTAGTAAAAATTTTAAATTTAAAATTCCTATGTTATTCTTATGGAGAATATTGTAAACTGTAGTAGTTTGCTTGTTTATGGATATATTTTGATCAAACTTGGCAGTATTATTTATTTTATAATAAGCTATTAATATTTTACTAAAAAGCACACCTTATTAGTTTCCTTGTAGCAGCAAACCTAGGTACTCGTTAAACCTAATGTTATTTCAAAAGATTTAATTGAAAATCAATTCAGACAAATGGAAATTCGCTTAGTCCCCATGTCATCGTCAATACCTTTTTGTAGCTGCAGTTAATAAAAACAGCTGATACAGGTAATTTTTATAGCAATCTTTAAGTTTATAAAAGTGTTAAAATGTTAAATTAAAATATTTCTTTGTATCATCTAAAATTGTTTCACATTGATTACATAATAAATACTTATGTAGCTATATAACTTATCTAATAAATTTAATGTTTAATCAAATCTGAGCAAAGCTAGGTCTCCTGGTACTTATACATGACGTGCATATACCAAGTTTCATAATGATTGGTTAAAACAATCTAAAGATAAAGATGTTATGTAAAAAATATATATATAATGGTAGATACCTGGTTAATGAAGCGATTTTGGAAAAAGTGTTATTCTTGTTTTTCTTTATTTTGATCCAAGGAATCACAATTTAAATTTTATGTCTCCATCATTTTTGAACACCCTGTATATATCCTGCAACAATTATGGTCATTTAACTTGTTCAGTAAACCAATTATTTTGCAAAAAAAAGTATCTTTAATCATTAACCCTCTAGGACTGCCTTTTGATGTGTGCCCAACCGCCGGTTAGGACATTTTTTTCAAACGCTAACTATGCAAGAAGCGTAATAATTTAGATACCGTTGGAAAGAAGAGTTTCTGAACTTTTATTTTTATATTGTAATAAACCTCTAAATATGATGTTATTTTTATCCTATATATAATACGAGTAAAGTTTGAATACTTGTCAACTCGATCTGGTAATCGGCTCTAACAAAAACGTTTATATTTACGGAATAACTAAGTTCTGTGTCAAAAATAAGTTCTAGACCAGTGGTATAGCCAGGAAAAATCTATTTTCGCCATAATATGAGTACAAACTTTTGAAAATTTAACATGGGCCTTATGAGAAAACATTCCGCCATTATTGTCATTTTGTTTACATTTTAAGACATAACGTGACGTTCTGTACCCACGGGCACCTCAGCTTGCGCATGCACATATGGCCTATTTACAAAAGACAGTACAAAAGAAAAGGAGTCCGATGAATACCATTAAGCGTTGATTAACAATACACCGATTCGCATAATTTCTGGTGGCCTTACTGAATTATTCCAAGCAGATTATTTTGTTTAATTGTTGTTATTAGTTTTGTGGTAAATATTAGTTTGGAGTGTGGTAACTGTTTATGACGATTAGATTAAGGTATCTACAATCCTAAAATGCTATGGGAAGGGAGGGAAACAGGTCCGCGACGTAGGAAATGGTGAAGGAAGTAGTAAAGGTAAGTAGTCCGGAGTGTGGGAAATGTTTATGACGATTAGATTAAGGTAT